CTAAATTTAAGCATATTGATTTTTAAGTAAATTCAGTTCTTTTTAAGCTTATATGTATATGAAGTACTTCGAAAGTTTTTGTCGTACTTAACTTAAATGTGATAAATAATAAAGTTTAGGTACAGTGAAGTTTTTACAATACCGGCCACTATTTTTTAAATATTTTATTTTTACCTAATTTTTTATAAAAATATGGTTAATATCAGAGTTCCAAGCCTTATGCAAAATTAAGGAAAACTGCGAATTTCCATCCAAGTATTGCAATTTACACTCTTTAGAAAAAAGTTAAGTACTCAGTTATTAGCCCATTCAATTTTAGTATAACAAAGCGCAAGTTTGAGGTAGCTAGGACTTACCATTCATATTTAGCAATTTTTTTTTGTTGTTGTTTGGTAAGTCCTAGCTTCCTCACACTTGCACTTCATTATACTAAAATTGAATGGGCTAAAAAACTTTTTCTAGAGACCGTAAATAGAAAGTGAATTATTTTAATGAAATTTTGCAGAATTTTCTTAAATTTTGCACAAGGTTTGGAACTCTGATTTTTGGGGATTTTGTTGTAGAATTGACCATATTTTTATAAAAAATTACCGAAAACGAAAATATTAAAACAATAGTTGCCCGTATTGTAAAAAATTCGTTGTACCTAAATTTTATTGACTGACTGTATTAAAGTAGCTGTGGTGGATTGCATAAAAAAAATTTATTTGTCTTTTCTTAAAAAAAAGGTAGCTCTGGTGGCTTGCATTTTTAAATAAATTTAGTGAGAAAGTTGTAATTATTTTGACACTTTTTTTTTTTTTAAATGGCTCTTTTTCTGCAACTGCATTGCCTTTCTCAATTGTCCTTCAGGATCTTGGCCTTTGGGTATGGAATCACTAAGTATAATGATTATTAAGCAACTCAAAAACTATACCAGCGTGATTACCGACGTATCCTTTTGAGAGGTAGCCGCACCCTTATAAAAGGAATAAGACCCAAACTTTTCAGGTAAAAATTTCAGTCAAAACTTTTTCTAGAGAGCGTAAATAGAAAGTGAATTATTTTAATGAAATTTTGCAGAATTTTCTTAAATTTGGCACAAGGTTTGGAACTCTGATTTTTGGGGATTTTTTTGTAGAATTGACCATATTTTTATAAAATATTACCGAAAACTAAAATATTAAAACAATAGTTGCCCGTATTGTAAAAAATTCGTTGTACCTAAACTTTATTGACTGACTGTATTAAAGTAGCTGTGGTGGATTGCATAAAAAAAAATTAATTTGTCTTTTCTTAAAAAAAGGTAGCTCTGGTGGCTTGCATTTTTAATAAATTTAGTGAGAAAGTGGTAATTATTTTGACACTTTTTTTTTAAATGGCTCTTTTTCTGCAACTGCATTGCCTTTCTCAATTGTCCTTCAGGATCTTGGCCTTTGTTTATGGAATCACTAAGTATAATGATTATTAAGCAACTCAAAAACTATACCAGCGTGATTACCGGCGTATCCTTTTGAGAGGTAGCCGCACCCTTATAAAAGGAATAAGACCCAAACTTTTCAGGTAAAAATTTCAGTAGGTTGCGTCTTTATGGCCTTTTCAATTTTATAAATTATCATTATTTTTAAGTGGAAGAATAAAACTGAAAATTAATCATAATCTCATCACAATATAATCACAAAATTATCATTATTTGTAATCCCAAAAATAAAAATCAAATAATAATTATTTCCGTTTGAGCGAAAAAAAAACTCAATAATAATTCATAAAATAATGATGAAATACTGATTTAAATTATTTTACTCATAATGATTACCTTCCCTGCTTTTAAAATTTAAAATAGAATAGTTTAGTGAAAGTACCACATTTCACTTTGGACTGGTGCGGAACTAGTTACTATCGGACTGTTTCGTTTTTGGCAAAAAAGAACTAGTACTGAACTAGAAATCTGGTTCACTAGTTCGTGTTTTCCCTACAGGGTTGCTAAGCCCTTGCAAATCATTCAATTTAGCGATCCGTGAAAGAGACATGTGGCTGACTTTAAATTTTTCCGAAATTTCGCGAGTTGAGTGCCCCAAACTTAGGTACTCTATAATCTTGTAATTTCTTGGCTTAGACACCGCATTATGCAAAAACATATATCACAAGCGCAAATAAATTTAAAATAAAAGCAGTAAAAGCTTTACATACGATGAGTTGTCTTGATTTCAAACGACCGGGTCAAAATTGTAACAGTAAGGCTTTATTACGTTTTATAATTTAATGCTGCTATATTGCATATAATTGGTTTGTTTTTAACCTTTTATTGCGAATACTTAAAATTTAAATCAATGGAAGCAAGATCTTGAGATATATTTCACAGCGTTGACTATTGTTACATTTTTGCTCCTCAGTGTATATATGTTCCTAATACATTCATATTTAAGTACTTAGTACATATGTATGAGAAAACCATTACCATTTTAGCGCCCAATACTCATATGTTTTTGTACATATGGAACTTCATGCAAATACCGCAGAGTAAACAAATGTGAATAAATATGATTTGTAGAACAATTAGCCAATTATACCCCAGGACTTCGCGCTAAACTTTGCGTATGGAAGCACTTTATTCTTAAATCTCCAAGATGCCGATTCAGCATTTTTACCTCAGTATGCATATGTGCTGGCATATGAAAATCTGTTAATAAAGAGGAAATGCTGACTTTCATATTTATACTTAATTACGCGTGGAAGTTTGAAAAGACAAAGATGTTGCAGCGATTAGACATTTAGATAGGTGTGGTAAGAAAGTACGATTTTCTTGGGCAAAGGGGAAATTTTTTTTAAAAAGGACTGAGGGCTTTTAATCAATTTATTTGAGCCACGTAGATTTCAAATTCATTCACTGAGTTAATAAGGTTTAATTGTATTCATATTGCTGCAACCTATTGCATTGCATACTTATTCTCTATAGCAACAAATCAACAGTTATATTGCACGTGCTTCAAATTTATGAATGAAATTCCTTACAAACGAGACCCTTACAACCGGCACATTTTATTTTAATTTGTTGCACTACCACTAGTAAAAATCCAGTTGTTACTCCATTGTACTATTTCACTCACTTTCTTACATAAATATGTACGTATGTACATTCAATGTCCTATCCAAGAAGCATGCGCGTTGTATTCACTTTCTCCACCAACAACGCATTGACCTCCGATTTGGCGCTCTTACCACTACCCTGCAGGAAACGTATCTAATTATAAGTTAGCTTGAAGTTGATTGGGAAGAAAACTTAAGTTCACTATTATCCGTATTATTTCTTTGAGGAATATACTATGGGGATGGCCGCGAAATTGTTAAGGTTGGCTACCTCTGCATTATATGTCAACTAACTTGTAACTAACTACTTTGCAATTTTTTTACTTGCAAAACCGCCTAAATCGCATTGTGACAAAAATGAGATTTGGTAACCTTGAACTCCAGGCATCGAGATTTATGCATAACAATCGTAAACTCGTTGTTAAAACAACAGATTTGTAAAATAATAGCTAGAGATAATACCGCCCATCAAGACGAAGCCTTCAAAGAAAACCAATTTTTTCGCTCTCCTGTAAAATTTGAGTGTCGTAAAAATTGGTTGATGGGCGGTTTTGCAAAAACATCGACGATATATTTGTTCGCATATTTGTTACATATATATTCGCGTACCTGATAATTATTGATAGTTATCAAAATCTGCCACCTTTTTGTGTTCGCGTATTCAAAAAACTTGCAAAATAGTGGAAGTTAAGAGGGCAAAGTGGCATTTTATTTTGAGGGGAATCTACTAGTTTCTGTTGGAAACATTTTTGCTAGCAGCAATTTGCCAGCAGGAATACGGCTGATCAAAAACAGCTGGTTAAAATTTACGCAAGTCACAAAATAGAATTTGATGGTTTGGAAGTTAAAAATCGCTACTATAGATTGAAAAGCTCTAAGTCCACTTTTTATGAAAACTCATATTTTAATCAGGAGGATAGAGAAATCAAATATACATCGTTACGAAAAGGATAAATGTACTTGTTTTATGTTTTCTCGCTTACATTCAATGAATGGAAAATTTGATAAGTCCAAATGGAGCTCCGAAAATTCTATAAGGCGTTGTTGCTTTTCTTTAAACAGGCAAAATGTTGTATTCAAAGTTTTTCAAAATACTTGAAGAAAATGGCTATAATTTCTAAATTGGTAAAATAGCTAGAATTTCTAAATTGCGACTTAGAGACTTTTCACTCTAAGCTAGCGAAATGATTATATAATAGTGGCTAATTCAATTCGTTTTCAATTTTACATTTTTGAATATAAACAAAAATTCTATCAGCTGTTCGTCTAACTTGCAAGTTCCTGCAAATTTTCTGTTCGCATACTTATCTGGTAAATTATTCTCTTGTGAGAGAACAGATGACATTTTGCCAGAATTTTTCTGTTGGAGATTTTAAACAAACGTCCCTAAATAATACTTATAAAATTTCGACCTTCATTTTATTTGTCCTGAATTCGAAAAAGTATTTGTGGACTGCAGAAAAATGTTTATTCAAAATAAAATTTGTATGAGGATGTTTAAATAGAAACTTGGTTAAAGAAAACAAACTCCCGATGACGTCTGCGAGACTCCTGCATTACTTTACAACTAGTTTCAAGTTATCTTTTTGTAACCAACTAAAATTTATATATTTGATCGAAATCTACAAGCTAACTAAAAGTGAGTAATTTTTTATCAAATGATAATCTTTTTTCTGCAGGGTATTGTACATATATACATACATACACATTTACATGCCTCTACAAAGGTGTTGAAATTATTATAGCATACAAGCACATTTGAATTTTGATTTCAAACACTTTGTGGCAGTAATCAGTGGCTGGCGACAGAGCGCCAAAAAAACTAACAAAGAAAAGTTAAATTGCCAAGACGTATGTATGCCTCATGGCACTTGCTGTCCGCTAAAAGCCGCAGTCTTCTAAGGACTTTATACGCTGGCGGTCATATTTTCAAATCGTGTGCGTTTTACCTCAATTGTATACAAAAAAAATTCTAAGTGTCTTGAGGATTTTACTTCATTAATGTGGTTGTGTTAGCTGTTTCCCTGCGGCAATATGAAACTATGGGTTGTTTTAATTGTGTTTAATCAATTCGTTTATTTGTCACTGTCCACAATATCGGAATTAAATAACTGTAAGTGCTATTTTTTGAAACAAAATTAGGAATGTTTAGTGAAAATTATAAATTATTGCGGAACTAAGGTCAAAGCTAAGACGTAATTTAATGGTTTCAAGATCTACAGATGTTCTTATTCACCATCGCCTTTTCTGCACACGTGCGGTAACAACCCGACCTTTATTTTCAAATAGTAATATTTTGGCGAATTTAGTTAGTTAGTTGATGCTTGGGTTAAACAGAACAAGAGACACCGCGATCTTTCTATCTCTTAGAGCTTTTCTATCTCTTAAAGAGCGAGTACCTAACCCAGTATGTTCAAGATATCTTCGGCTTCCCTAATGAATTCATTATAACAAAGGGTTAGACCATTGGAGCTTTTTAATGGTTTAATCTTTGTCTGGCCAAAGTCGGACAGCAACAAAGAATATGTTCTGAAGTTTCACCGTCTTTAAGGCAGAGCCGGCATTCCGACCCTGTGATCACACCTACTCGGTGCAAGTGGAACCGCAGTCGGTTGTGACCAGTCAGGCACCCAGAAAGTAGCCTGATGTAATTTCTATTTTCTAATTTAATATCATTTGTATTGAAGCGATAGCCGTAGAGCCTGGCCCGGCATTAAGAGTCTACCCACTCAGTATTTATGGCTCTCGAAGAGAATCAACCGAGAGCCCAGTTTGGTTCAGACCACGAAAGTGCAGTTAGCTATCCTTCTCGTAAGCGAACTCATCGGCGACCTCATTTCCTTCGATTCCCCAATGGCCTGGTACCCAGAACAGTGTTACCGTGTTTTTGGCTGCAAAAATGTGTTGTTTGTCAAAACAGTCTCGAAACAGCTTGGATCTCACCGTCTTGTGGAAGTGATAGATAACTAGTAAGGCGGCTTTCAAACCCTTTAAAGGTTTAATTTTAAGTTTAAGATTTCGCATATTTCAGCCGGAAACACCGTAGGCTATCGCCCATGGGAATTTCAAGTTTGGTGCCAGGTTCAGAGATACTAGCACCTGAACTGTTTCTTGAACCGTCTGTGCACGAATATATGTATCTGTGGTCAAGTGCAGGGAACCCATTTGTCCGAGGAATTAGTCATCTCGATTTCCTCGTCGTTCCGACAACTGTGACAATAAGTAATTGTTTGTCAGAAAAACTTTCTAGTGTCATTTGTCCACAATTAACTAAAAAAACCGCCTCTAAAAAGCAGCATAATGACTGCCCTTTATTGTGGTTGGGTTGGCATAAGAAATAAGTGGAAAAAGCAACAACAGTTTATAAGGCGAACTTAGCGCAGTTGGTAGACCATTGGCTTTGTATGCTGGGGTCGCTGTGTCGAGTCCCAGTGAAGAAGTTTGCTAAGGAGATATAGCAATATAGCAGATATAACTTCTACCATTTATAAACTATTGTTGTTTTTTTTCACAAAAACTTTTCAAACAAAAATAATAATAATAACATAAAATGGCCTGAAGCTCAATAAAAATTGTTTAATATGGTTTATTATGCCAAAACAAAACAAAATAAAAATAAAAAGACTCGTAAGGTGATGGTGTCCTATAGAATATAAAGGTGCCTTGAACATTTTCTTCTGTATAACTTCAAAACTAAAAATGTTACAAACAAATATGTACATTATTTGGTTACCTTTATTGTTACTTCAATAAATAAAATACATTTAATATTAGAACGACCAGGTCGTTTGACCTACCTAGAAAGCCGTTGTGCCAAAATTGATACACTATATTTTTAATCTGTGTGGTGCTGAAGTGCATCCTCGCTTTCAGGATTTGGTTCATTAAGCTCAGATTCCGGACCTTCAGAATCCTCCACCGCGGTATTGCTCAAAATATCTAAAATTTGGTTAGGACTGGAACCCGCCATTTCAAAGTTCACAATATTTACACTGTTGTACTACACATACATATGTATGGAACTTTTATGACTGCAAAACTCAATGAATAATTAAAAGTCAGGAAGGTTTTAGCTTGCGAAAATCTAGCTTTATAGTACATTGAAAGTTTAAGTGTGGCAAACTTGATACAATAGTTAAAAATAGGCAACTATATAGGCAATTAGATAAATAATACCTGTTTTATCGGCAGCCATGTTCAAGTAACTTATTACTGCGTTCAAAATGTGAAGAATAGCTGTGCCGATGAAACCATCAACCGAAACTTGCGACTTTGATATTTTGAGGACTATATTGAGCTTGCAGATCAATGAGATATAATGGTTCGAAACCTATACATATCATAAACCGAAATGAATAACTCTGAATTTTATATTAAATGTACACCCTAAAAGATAAAGAAAGATCATTCACAAAAATAGTTTTAACGATGCAAGGGCAAGGAAGTGCTATATAGGTTTTCAAAACATTACATAACGCGCCGTATGCACAAACACTAAGCAATTGCTTTTTCTTAAAACTTCATACCTTTCACTTAAATTTATTTGAACAAATCGAGTAAAAGCTCTGAAATTTGTAGAAAAAGCATTTCGCTAGCTTAGAGTGAAATGTTGCTAAGTCCACTTTTTATGAAAAATTAGTTTTTGATGCAGGAGGCAAGGAAAACTGAAAATGCACCGTTTCTGAAAGGATCTAACTGCTTG